AATCGGGTACTCGGTGAATACCGAAGTTTTCTCATGGTCTCGCTAAGTTTGAGATAACGAGGTTCGTTTGTAAAATTGGCCAACAGGAATTGCAATTTCTATTCATTGTTTTGGAATTCGCTGATTTTTGTGTTCGGTGGCAAATGAAGTAAAGATTAATACAATTGGATTTTCACCCAATCTTTACTGTGTACACTGTGGTTATTTAAAATTCATATCGTACTGTCTTTTTGAATCGATTTCCGTCAGAGAACAGTATAACTCATAAACTCGGTTGTAAATTATAAAAATCCGTGATCTAGTTGTCAAATGTACATCAAAGATCTTGAAATTTGAATTTTGTTTCGATCAATTTGGATTTTCCTCTGTCGCCTCCAAGGTTTAAAACGTTTAGGCCCTTAGCATCATTGACGAGTCCTAGAAGAACGAAACAGCTGTATGATGCAGTGTCACTGAAGAGTCCTCGAAGAACGAAACAGCTGTATGATGCAGTATCACTGGCTGTAAGAAAGAAACAGCTGTTTGATGCAGTATCACTGACGAGTCCTACAAGAACGAAACAGCTGTATGATACAGTATCACTGACGAGTCCTCGAAGAATGAAACAGCTGTATGGTGCAGTATCACTGACGAGTCCTAGAAGGACGAAACAGATGTATGTTACAGTTCCTACATTCTAACACTTCGTTTAGAAGTTATAAAATTCTAAACTGTAACACTACGTTTAGATATCATAAAATCCTACACTGTAAAATTTCGTTTAGAGGTTATCAAAATTTACATTCTTACACTTCATTTAGAGGTTATGGATTCCTACATTCTAACACTTCGTTTAGAGGCTATTTTCTATTTTTTCATTTTTCATTTCGTTTAGAGGTTATAAAATCCTTCATTCTGAGGTTATGAAATCCTACATTCTAAGACTTCGTTTAGAGGTTATTATTTCTAACATTCTAAGACTTTGTTTAGAGGTTATGAATTCCTACATTCTAACATTTCGTTTAGAGGTTATAAAATCCTTCATTCTTACACTTCATTTAGAGGTTATAAAATCCTTCATTCTAACACTTTGTTTAGAGGTTATTTTCTATTTTTTCATTTTTCATTTCGTTTAGAGGTTATAAAATCCTTCATTCTGAGGTTATGAATTCCTACATTCTAATACTTCGTTTCGAGGTTATTATTTCTAACATTCTAACACTTAGCTTAGAGGCTATACATTTCTTCATTCTAACATTTCGTTTAGAGGTTATAAAATCCTTCATTCTTACACTTCGTTTAGAGGTTATAAAATCCTTCATTCTAACACTTCATTTAGAGGTTATGAAATCCTACATTCTAAGACTTCGTTTAGAGGTTATAAAATCCTTCATTCTGAGGTTATGAATTCCTACATTCTAATACTTCGTTTCGAGGTTATTATTTCTAACATTCTAACACTTAGCTTAGAGGCTATACATTTCTTCATTCTAACATTTCGTTTAGAGGTTATAAAATCCTTCATTCTTACACTTCGTTTAGAGGTTATAAAATCCTTCATTCTAACACTTCATTTAGAGGTTATGAAATCCTACATTCTAAGACTTCGTTTAGAGGTTATTATTTCTAACATTCTAACACTTCGTTTAGAGGTTATGAATTCCTACATTCTAACACTTCGTGTAGAGGTTATTGTTTCTTACATTCCAACACTGAGAAATCCAAAATTATAACACTTTTTGTAGAGGTACAGTGATATAAGACAGTACTGTAGGAACTGATGACGCATTTTTCAGCAAGTTAGTACTTGCTAATAAAATCGTTCATCTTTAAATTCAGTACGGTAGTCTCACAATCACTCACCTTTATACTGCAGCTTTATCGCATTATTTTCGTAACAATGACAACAAGACATCAACATATGCATATTCCGTATATTTTGATAAGCTAATGATGATGAATATGTTCGCAAATGAACTATCATAAAAAAAAATCCGATAACATAAGCGCTGCCTGTTGACCAATTTCCCAATGCTAACCTGATTCAGTATGTAATGATCTGTATTACTGAGGACAGGACAATCCGCTACTAATGTAAAAGCCAGACATGTCGTGTTCCGTTGTAAAGGTTACACGGAAGGTGGCATTACATTGTTGGTAGTTCAGGAAGTTATATCCCAGATTCACTGAGTTAACCTCGAGGTGACCTTATTTTCGAAGCTGATGAAAGAACGGAGACACGATTTGAGCACCTTTTGCTATAATATAAGCAATCAGTATTAACAGTAAAGACATATATTGCATACACATATATGATATCTATCTATATATAGCTATCTACATAAATCACTAATATATATCAGACGAGTTATAGAACCAAAATGAATATGAAATCAGTTTCATTTTCAATTTCATTTAAAATTAACATCTGGTTTCTTTTTTTAAGTTAATACATCAAATACTTCATACTTTGAGAAAGTGGTTTGACGTCATTCGAAACTGTTTAACTGTTTCTGAAGAAAGTAACATAACAGCGAGTCGCTTTCACAAATCAGCGACATATGTAAACGTGTTTTTAAAGGACCATTGATCTTTATCGATGATGCAAATCTGTTTGGTGAAAATCTGATTAGATACATCTTTGAAGAATATCAGAAATGAAACAAAGACCAACATCAGTTTTTTTTTCATAACATCCAAGCGCGTCTGAGAATAACAATTTACAGTTTTACACCGCTTTATATATCATACAAAGGGAAACACCAAGAAAAAAGTAGTTGGTTTAGAAAATAATATTGTGTTACGAACTTGACGAGGCACTATAGAAAATTATTATCATTTATATTCTAAAAAAGTAAATCTAAATTTCGTTCACAAATCAGCAACGTTAATGGATTACTATTGTAGAACTGGGGGCATGATAAAGAGTTTACATGTTCACAATTAATTATTTGATTTCGAAGACAAAAGATCAAGGAAAGGTAGCAGAACAATGCTTTTGTCTCTGTTAAAATCTCTTTCCCAGGTCACGTAATCACATATTGACTTAAACGAAAATGAACCGATAACTTAATGTGCTTGTTACATTTACGAACGGATATGTAAACAGTAATTTGCAATCGATTTTATTGCATGATTTGACAGATTTGACGTTCAAATACAACCGGAAGAGAAAATTTTCCAAATTACTGTCAAATTTTCGATAGGAACCAATTCGTCAACCAGACATACCAAGCATGGAGTATAAATCCTACCCAAAGGACATGCTGTCCATTTGATTGCTTACGTTATCTATTTTAGAAGAAGTACGTCCCTTCATTTAAATTTGAATTCTTAATTCATTTCCGATGAGTTGTAATAAAGATGATTGGCTTTGCGTATCACGTAGATCTGTAGTGGGAGGTCTGTTTGCTGTGTGTATCACGAGAGAAGATGTAGGGGGAGGGATGTTGGCTGTGTGTATCACGTACAGCTGAAGCGGGAGGTTGGCATTGTGTATCACGTACACCTGCAGGGGGTGGAGAGGTTTGCTTTGTGTATCACGTACAGCTGTAGTGGAGGTAGGCTGGCTTTGTGTTTCACGTACAGCTGTAGAGGGAAGGAGGTTGACTTTGTGTATCGCGTACAGCTGAATCGGGAGGTTGGCATTGTGTACCACGTAAAGCTGTAGAGGGAGGGAGGTTGGCTTTGTGTATCACGTACAGCTGTAGAGGGAAGGAGGTTGGCTTTGTGTATCACGTACAGCTGTAGAGGGAGGGAGGTTGGCTTTGTATTTCACGTACAGCTGCAGAGGGAAGGGAGTTGGCTTTGTGTATCACATACAGCTGAAGCAGGAAGTTGGCATTGTGTATCACGTACAGCTGTAAAGGGAGGGAGGCTGGCTTTGTATTTCACGTACAGCTGTAGAGGGAAGGAGGTTGGCTTTGTGTATTACGTACAGCTGTAGAGGGCGGGAGGTTGGCTTATATTTCACGTAAAGCGGCAGAGGGAAGGAAGTTGGCTTTGTGTATCACGTACAGCTGAAGCAGGAGGTTGGCATTGTGTATCACGCACAGCTGTAAAGGGAGGGAGGCTGGCTTTGTATTTCACGTACAGCTGTAGAGGAAAGGAGGTTGGCTTTGTGTATCACGTACAGCTGTAGAGGGAGGGAGGTTGGCTTTGTATTTCACGTACAGCTGCAGAGGGAAGGAAGTTGACATTGTGTATCACGAACAGATGTAGTGGAAAGGAGGTTGGCTTTGTGTATCGCGTACAGCTGAAGCGGGTGGTTGGCATTGTGTACCACGTAAAGCTGTAGAGGGAGGGAGGTTGGCTTTGTGTATCACGAACAGATGTAGGGGGAAGGAGGTTGGCTCTGTGTTTCACGAACAGATGTAGTGGGAAGGAGGTTGACTTTGTGTTTCACGAACAGATGTAGTGAGAAGGAGGTTGACTTTGCGTATCACGGACAAATGTAGGGGACGGAGGTTGGCTTTGTGTTTCACGAACAGATGTAGTGGGAAGGAGGTTGACTTTGTGTTTCACGTACTGCTGCAGAGGGAGGGAGATTGGCTTTATGTGTCACGTACAGCTGTAGAAGGAATTAGGCTGGCTTTGTATTTCACGTACAGCTGCGGGGGGTGGGGGGAGGCTGGCTTTGTATTCACGTACAGCTGCGGAGGAGGGAGGTTGGCTTTGTGTTTCACGTACAGTTGTAGGGGGATGGAGGTTGACTTTGTGTTTCACGTACAGCTACAGAGGAAGGGAGGTTGGCTTTGTGTTTCACGTACAGCTACAGAGGGAAGGAGGCTGGCTTTGTGTACCATGTACAGCTGTACAGGGAAGAAGGTTGACTTTGTGTATCACGTTCAGCTATACAGGGAAGGAGGTTGGCTTTGAAACAAAATTAATGACATATGTATCGTTCTTGTTTCCTGATGTTATGGACTTTTTCTTTGTTTGTACGCAAAATGCATTTTCTCATTGGCCGATATTTTCTTTTCATTTCTCGATGAAAAAATTCTAGCTCCGTCCACTTGAAAATGATTGGAGGAATCAATGGCAACACGCCACCTTGCGGAGAATCTATTGGAACTGCTTTTGTGGTTAGATAGCTTATCTGCTCACGGATTCACACGGTGTGTAGATCGCTGTCATTGTGTTAATAAAAACAGACCACAACACCATAAAATATTCAAATATTTTACGATGTACACAAACAATTAAAAGACGAATAAATACCGGAAGTAAGAGGGAAAATCTGTCTTTCTATATTTTCACACATTTTCTTCAAGCTAAAAGTAATATTACTCGCCACCAGATCAAAACGTCGTATAAATTTTGTGTCCGATTTACAATCACAAGACGGATTTCAATCTTTGTGTTGTCTTTGGCTTTGATGCCCAAAATGATGGCGAATTTGATGAGAATCAAGCCAACATCAGCGATACCTTATCTGTTTCATCTGTCTTGAAAGCGAGGCGCCCACTCATTATTGAAATTTGAATGACTGAAGTGGCGCGAATTAGCTGTCAATGACGTCACGGCACGCCAAACAAACTGCTATGCACAGCAATTTGTTGAAAAAAAAAATCCTTTTTGTTTTTGTTGTTGAAGCGTATCTCAGGTTTTAAATATCAGCTTTGATAGGAATGTGACATTTAGTTATATGCTGAGACGAAAGAATGAAACATCATGAATGCGCGCAATCGTATCAAAGTTTAAAATGTCGAAACACACCGTAAGACATTTCAGGAAATTGCAGATTTTTGACAAAAAAAAATATTCTGAATGACGTCAACATTTCCAACACTGTCATGTTAGATTAATTTGTATGAACTTTACACTGATATCAAATTATAGTTTACGACTCACCCTCTCAACCTCCTTAGATTTGGGAAATTATAACTCACGGCATTCCTAATAGATTGTTTGCTTTTGTAAACGTTTTACAAGTCTTCCGCCTTTTTCAGAGATGCCGATTGATGAAGATTTAGAGGAAAAGTATCGGTCGTCTTAAAGATCCTTTTGAAGAATGTTCTATTTATTTGCTTTTTTAATGGACATATTTGCTTCTTGTAAGTTTGCCTGGTTGCTCCGCCTTGTTACCTTGGTCTCACCTGGGGTGTTGGCATTTCTTTGAACGTAGTTGGAATGACTAATATTTACATGGCGGTATTGTCGATTAAGCAGAAGACGCTTTCTCTTTCGTAATACCTGGTCCAATCCGCCTTGTACTTTTTCAGGAGACTCCATGTTAATCTTTCTTTTTATTAATATCAATTTTCATCTAATTCGAGGTCGAGTTAAGACTCTGCTAACATGCCAGAATTTTCTTAGTTCTTCTTTGCCCTCTTTTCATAGATATATAAGAACAATTAACTAAGTTTTTATATAATATAATACTATTTTTATGCTAATGACTATACCACAACCGAACTGAGTATATTTTGATTAAATTTGATGATCTGACCACACATGGTTTACAACATATTTGCTATTAAACTGTGCCCCTGAGATGGCTGATTTTTTCATACGAGGATGAATTTACGGAAGAGTTTATCAATATAGATCATAAAGACCTTGCAAAGTCGTTCGATTTCACTTGCAAATATATTGATGACGTCATTAAATAACAAGAAATCATGGACTATGTCCATCGTATATACCCAGTAGAATTGGAAGTCAATGACACTATAGACCCACATAGACAGTTTTCCACGAAGCTGTATGATAAGCATAATGATTTCAATTTCCCTGTTGTGAATTTTCCATTTCTGGATAGCAACATTCCTGCATCCCCAACCTGTGGTGTTTACATGTCGCAACTGATCCGATATTCAACGGCCTGTTCCCATTACCACGATTTTTGTGCAAGAAGTCGTCAATTGACCGACAAACTTGTACCACGGTGCGTTGAAAATATAAAGGTGAATGAAAATGTTTTAAGGTTGCCATAGTGATTTTATTGAGAAATATATTTCTTTGTGTGATGTGAAAATGGGCGTGTTTAATACTCATTTCTTTGACTGTTGGCTCCGTTATCGAATACATTGTTCTCATTTTAGAACGTGACACCACTTACCTGAAGATTTAGATTTACTTTTTAGATATTCATCGTAAGTTACGTAAAAAATATCTTTGCGGTATTTTCTGAAACCATTTTAAACACGTGAAACAGCTTAGTGTGTACATGGTACGTCACAACCGAAAGATTTCCAAAAAGTAATAAAACCCAATTGTAATAAAATAATTATTGGGTTATTTTTCCATTTCAAGGTGTCTGAGAAAGTTGATATTAGATTGGATGCTCTCAAGAGAGAGAGGGATAACTGGGATGGGGGTGGGGAGACGTAATATGTTCTGATTTTTCCAATTATGCAACTACAACGACCTTGTTTCATACGAATTAATGGTCTGATAGCCATACTATTTTCATCTATATCGATGGCTGTTGTTTATTAGAATGTGTTCAATGCTACAATGAGTAAGACGGCCATAGTGTGTATGTATTTGTATCACTTTACTGGTGAGACGTCAGCAGACGATTTTTCATGGCTGTCTGATTGCAGTCGTGATCCGGATGATTTCATATTTACCAGTGTCATTTACATCTACAAATAGATATTCCGTTATTATTTCGCTGAAACCCTTTTCATTTGCCTTAAATCAAACGATACGTGAATTCTCAATGATTTCTTAGAGCTAGACATTTAACACTGGAAAAGCTTCCTTGTATAACGGAAAGGAGACATTTTTGTTCGGAGCTCAACTGCGAGGAGTTATTTGTCGAGAGAAATCTTGTAATCAACTTTATCATTTGTAGAGAAATCTTATTATCAACTTCATCATTTGTAGAGAAATCTTATCATCAACTTCATCATTTGTAGAGAAATCTTATCATCAACTTCATCATTTGTAGAGAAATCTTATCATCAACTTCATCATTTGTAGAGAAATCTTATCATCAACTTCATCATTTGTAGAGAAATCTTATCATCAACTTCATCATTTGTAGAGAAATCTTATCATCAACTTTATCATTTGTAGAGAAATCTTATTATCAACTTTATCATTTGTAGAGAAATCTTATCATCAACTTCATCATTTGTAGAGAAATCTTTATCATTTGTAGAGAAATCATTATCAACTTTATCATTTGTAGAGAAATCTTATCATCAACTTCATCATTTGTAGAGAAATCTTATTATCAACTTTATCATTTGTAGAGAAATCTTATCATCAACTTCATCATTTGTAGAGAAATCTTATCATCAACTTCATCATTTGTAGAGAAATCTTATTATCAACTTTATCATTTGTAGAGAAATCTTATTATCAACTTCATCATTTGTAGAGAAATCTTATTATCAACTTTATCATTTGTAGAGAAATCTTATCATCAACTTTATCATTTGTAGAGAAATCTTATTATCAACTTTATCATTTGTAGAGAAATCTTATTATCAACTTCATCATTTGTAGAGAAATCTTATCATAAACTTTATCATTTGTAGAGAAATCTTATCATCAACTTCATCATTTGTAGAGAAATCTTATTATCAACTTGATCATTTGTAGAGAAATCTTATATCATCAACTTGTATCATTTATCATTTGTAGAGAAATCTTATCATCAACTTCATCATTTGTAGAGAAATCTTATTATCAACTTTATCATTTGTATCTTATCATCAACTTCATCATTTGTAGAGAAATCTTATTATCAACTTGATCATTTGTAGAGAAATCTTATTATCAACTTTATTATTTGTAGAGAGAATTTTTTTCATCAACTTTATCATTTGTAATAATAATAAGCTCTCAGAAGCAATAAACATCATAACCATCTTTTAACGTTGAACTTAATTAGTTAGATGTACAGAGTAATTAGTGTAATCGATATTCAATATATTGGTTTTATGCTAACCTATGTATTAGCTTGTCCTCTTTTCATTAAGATAATTGCATTGGGTTGTACCATGGATATTTTAACCAAAATACTAAAAGTTTCCGGACTAATACACCGTTTTAATACGTTTTCATTGCCATGATCTTGAGACTGTGTGTCATTTGATGTTGTTCAACGACTATTGACTAACTATCAGAGGGTTCCATGGGGAATAAGCATGCAATACCGTTGACAAGACGTGGACTACTCCTCAAGCTTTTGAATTAGTCTGTGCTCAGCGAAATTTGCTTATATCGTTACAGTTTACAAATTGCACAATGGACTGCATAATTATTTTGCTTTAAACAACATTTTCTTCACTAAACAAGCAAATGGTTATTGTGTCCATGTCCTACATGGTGCTATCTTCCACACCCTTTATCGGAAAATTCAATTTCATCCCTGTCCGTACATCTTTCTGAGAGACTGCGGTGTGCCTCGGAGAACTTTTAAACAAGACTATTTTTTTGTCTTGCTCCCCATCAATTTATTTCAGAAAACTGTAAAGATTTTTCTCCATGGTGGAGAACAATTTCCATGGCCTTACACTAAGTAATGACATATTTTCTACAAAATGCATATACATCAACGTGACATAAAACAACAGGACGCCTGTGGGAAAATCATTCGTGTTGGTTTTAAAGTAATATAATCTTAGGTAGGTCTGTTCCGCAGACTGGGCTATCTCAGCCTTTGTGTTCTTGTCGCCAGGAGCATTGATCTCGTTATCTTAGAGACGGACATGCTTCTTTGAAATATCGACCTGTTCCCAAAAACATAACAGATCATAAACATGACTTCACGCACAAAAACGATACCAGATAATGACAACGATAAGAATTTATTTCTTGAAAGATAGGAAGAAGATGGCGATATGGAATTAAAAAGTATTGATAACTTTCTGTAAAGTATTGCTTGTCTTTTAGATTACGCTCTTTGTCTTATCTGCTTCTTTTAGAATTTGTTGGTTGTTAAGTAAGTAATGTTAATGGTATACAGCATATATAGTATCCCTAGATTACTGCAAAGTAGATAATAACGTTAAAATTTGACCTTTCCTGTTTTCAGTAGGTCAAATAAGCACTGGACAATACCTTAAAAGCATGTATATAACCGCAATTTTATCAGTATTATTATCAAAGAAGTCTTCTGGGA